CCTTGATTGTGCCCAAGTGGCCTTTTGGTGTTTCCAGGGAATGAAGCCGAGTGGCCTATGTTTTGCTAGAATATTGATTCATTTCCGTTTCGGCAAATTCCAGGTGCTCGATTTGTCCACTTTTTAGCAAAGGTCATGCCGAAATTTTTCGTGAATTTCGGGATGACTTGTGCTACAAACTAGGACATATCGAGTGTCGGAGATTTGCCGCATTGGGAAGGAATCAACGTTCCTGCAAAACATAGGCCTTTTTATGTCATTATTCATTTTATTAGGTCTAGAATTAATTGACTAGATTTAATCATAGGAAGCATGGCTAGCAACGATGAAGGACGGGGTTTTGGTGATTGCAACGACGTCTACCCGACGGCACACGAATATTTGAGCCTTGCCAACGATCAACGGATGTTGTTACTGGGCCCACCTGTCTCATCCGAGACCGACATTGAGACCAGCACCGAGACTGGCGTTGAGACCCAGACCAGCACCGAGACCGGCACCGAGACTAGCAAAGCCATAGAACCGAAATCGAAGAGGAGATGTCGACGCCCAAACTAGCTCCTCACTACTAGACTAGTGCCCACGGACATGGACGATGGTAATTTTGAGCCAAAACTACCTGTGGAAGCGCGCTCCTGCTACGGCAATTAAATAGGCTGCATCGTACGGGCGTGCGCCACCATCAATGATGAGAAACTAAAGAAGAGGCCAAATATGAGGCACTCCCTCCTAACCCTGCTGCAGCAGATATTCTTGTTCCCGGGCTGGGATGAAATCCAATATAAAGATCCACAGAAAGACCCGGCAATGAAGAAGATAAACAAACACACCATGACCAAGTTTAGCGATGCGTTGGCCACCTGGAAAGTAAGGGTGAAACGCGATTTCGATAAAAAGGAACCCTGCTCCGAGATTGTGGAGGAAAATCTGACAATCATGGAAGAGCAGTTTGAACTATTCAAGGCGGCTTGCAATGCCGAAGATGCCAAAAAAAAGTCAAAGTACATGAAGGGGCTTCAAGAGAGGAACATGGGGCGCCACCACCTCGGAAGCCATGGTTACGCGGGGAAGAGGTCCATATGGGCCAAGGAGGACGCAGAACGCGAAAGTCTGGGAATCCCAGACCCCTTGGCGGAGTTCACCGTCCCGTAGGAGTATGACGTCATCAGGGTCCGGTACTATTGGGACCCAGTCAAGAAGGTTTTCGAGATGGACCCGGTCACGACGGAGTTCATGAGACTGCTGGTAATTTTAGTTTTTGATCAATTCGAATGCATGTTTAGTCATATTTGTAAACGATCCTTGTTCTTTTTGCATAGAGAGCAGCACAGGATTGCGGCGGAAAGCGACTCGCCATCTGAGGCATTGGCGAGGACCAAGTGGGACACCCCTGTAACGCCCTCGATGCGGCTATATCTCCCACGTGTCGAAGCACGACTTAGAGGCATAACCGCATTGAAAGCAATGTCGCAAGTGAGGTAATCTTCACACAACCCATGTAATACATAAGGAAAAGAGATACATAGTTGGCTTACAGTGGCCACTTCACACAATACATAAATAAACATCCATCATTCAGGTTACACTCAAGGTCCGACTACGGAACC